TACTACAATATTGAAAAAAAAAGAAAATCATTTACATATATGTCAATCCATTTTCTCTTTTTATATTACAAATTTATTTTTCATAAAAATATATCTCTGTACAAAAAAGTTTTTTTTTCTATTTTTGTTTTACATATTCTCTTAGAGACACTTTCCCCTCTGTAGTTGCTCTGTTTAAGTTCGTGTTTGTCCAGTTCTTCACAACAAACTATCTTAGAGTGCAGCAAGACACAGATTCTTTGCATTTTGCTGTTTTCTTGTTTTGTTGAGGCGTTCAAGGGCCATGTTGATCTCACTCAGGCATTATGAGTTTAGTCCCACATAAATGCTAGAACTATTTGGACACATTGGGAGGAAAAGAAAAAAAACTTGAAAACAATAACAGGAATGTCAAGTCTCTGCTACAAACATTTTGCCCCACGATATTTTAGATAAATCTAACTCATTATCTAACACATATAAGCAACATAACGGGAGTTAAAGCATCAAAACAGAGGCAAAAACAAGGGATTATACAAACTAAACACAGTATAGCACAAATGTGGTGCACTCAGTAAATAAAATACATTCAGCTGTGTTTGAGGGATAATTTTAGGATTTTGACAAGTCACGTCAACAAGTACACGCTGTTCCTATAGTAAAATATTTGAATCTTTGTAGCTTCTCCTCTTCCCCTCATTATTTACTCCACTGGATGAGCTGATATGAGCAGAAGAGTGAAGACAAACTGCACAGGTGAAGTATTTCTCTTTCCTTTTTTTTATTTTTTATTTTTTTGAAGCCATCAATAAGTGGCGACAGTGAAAGGCGGGAGATTGTAAATGATAGCTGCTGCAGAATGTGTCACATGGCCGGAATGATGGATCGCTTGCTTTTTGGATACATGTGTCGTGTGGCCTGTGCTGAAAAGTGAGAGCTCTCACTACAGAGGGGAAGCGGGAAGCTTTTGGTCTCGTCTCCGACTGAGAAGAAACTTGGTGAACTCAAAAGAACCAGAGCTGTGCGCTGTGTTATATTATGGAGGAGATGGTGAGCGGGAGAGAGGACTCAGAGCTGCGTGGGGCTGATAACGAAAATGAACCAGAATGAACAGAATGTTTTAAAATATGTAAAGAGAACCAGATGAGTGGTGGTGGTGGTGG